AATGCCTGTGCGCCACTCACAGGAGGTACTTCGCGTAATTGCCTTCTCCTGTGTGATCCTAGACACCCAGATTAATGAGCCATGGCCACTGAGAGATAGACACCAGGACTCACCGATTTCAGGGCCACGCGGAGACCGTGCTCGTCCAGAATCTTGGGCCCTCGCAGATTCGACTCGTAGGCCTCGGCCTTGTACAGGCCGTTGTCGGCGAACGTGGCAATAGTGATGTTTCTGCGAGCCCACTTGAGTTAGCCCTTCGATCTGTGACATAGAGATTAAAGGTGATGCAACGCACTCTTCGAGATGTTTGAGGAATTCCGGCACCTGCCATGCCGACAACGCGTGATGGAACGCCCGAGGATGCACTCCGAACTCATGCAGCACGGCAAGCATGCGCTCCAGATCGTCGGGCGTATAGCAGTGCACATACAGATTGAGCTCTCCGCGCAGCAACGCCACCAGCGTCTCGAGCTTGAATTCTTCCGGTCGCTTGCCCTGTCGGTCGATAAAATTAGCGATCTGCTGACTCTGCCCCACTCTGCTCTCCTCGATCTGGAATGCCGCCTGGCACCATTCGGTCTGGCGGTCGTGCAGCTCTCGTGCTTTGTTGAGTTCTTCGCGCAGCAACCAGGCGAGACCGAGGCGGGTGTGTCCGTAGAACCGTCGGGGGTTCTCCCCGCACGCCATCTTGAGATACCGCTGGCGCTGCGCCTCGGGAATACCATGGTCGAGGAGCAACTCTTCGATGACCGGCTCGCCGTCTGGGCCGGGTCGGAGAAGATTCTTGACCAGATAGGCTTCGCCGCCGATAACATTTGCCGATCCCGGGGGGATCAGCGACGAGGTCACGCCCCCCGAAGCGATGATCTTGATGGCTGGGTCGTCCGGGTTGAACCCATCCACGGCACGAACGAAGGAGGTCAGCGGGCCCAGGAGCGGGCTCTCGTTGACATCCTTGGTGGCCGGGAGCTGCGGGAAGGAGAGCAGCAAGTGATGCGAGTGCATGTCTACCAGGCCCGGGGTGACGAATGAGCCGTGCACGTCGATCACCTGGGCGTTGGCTGGCAAAGGGGTGTGTTGCGAAGTTGGGAGCACCGAGCGGATCACTCCGGCGTCGAATATGATATCCACCCGGTCGTCGAGGGTGGATTCCCCGTCGAAGAGCGTCGCATTCTGGATGACGATGGCTTCTTTCTGGCCTGCGACGGGGTTCCAGCGGGGATTGGCCCTGCTTGCTGATGCGACAGGCTCTCGCAGGCCTCGATCATGCACATCGTGGCATTTCTGAAGTCCTTCGTAGAATTCTCGTTTGGTCGCTGCAGAGGTGGTCGGAGTGAGTAGATCTGCAGGGGACCTGACGGAGACCAGCAGCAGAGTTGCGACCAACGCAACACCTCCAATGGATCGCCGCCAGCGTCTCAGAAATCGGCGACGTGGTGCACGAGCTGGCTCGTGGATTCCTGGGCCGGGATAGCGCAGGTGACTGCCCTTGGATGTCATGATGCGGTTTCACAGATGGTGGAGAATTCGACCCCCTTGATTGCGGTGGGAGTGTAGGGCGGGGACTGGTTATAAGACTGCCCGCACTGCTGGCGTGACTGTGGGTCGAAAGTGCGTTATCAGTCGGTGAACTGGCTTTAGCCCTTCCTGCACATGTTCTATTTGCAATAGTGCAGGTATGTAGTGAGCATTATCTTCTACCTCGTCTACTTTGATGAACGCAAAAACAAAAGATTTTCAAGATAGGTGTTACATGTCACTTCCAGTCGATCACCAGACTGGCTGACTCATTGTTTACATGCAGACAGTCACGTGAATGGAACTCCGACGGTGGCCGATAAGCCCTCCGATAAGACTCGATTGAGCACGCCTGCTCGAAGCGCCCGTACGCTTCAGAGTCCCCTTCGGGGGAAATCAACCTCGCCCCAGAGGTGTATCGTCTATCCCGACAAATGAGAATCAGACTACATACACGATAATTAGGCAAGAAGAACGACTCTCCGGGCGAGATACTTGCAAATTGCTCGACTCTCGAAAATCTGGAACTCCCCGTCTTCCAGCACAGGCACTTTGCCGAACGGTTGCATCTTCTTGTATACTGTGGTCTTGTGTTTCCCCTGGGCGATATCGACACGGATTAACGAATGGCAGAGCGTGACCAGGACGCGGGCGATTGACATGGCCGATCCGTAGAGTTTGAGAGCCATATTAGCCTCGATTCGCCAGCTTGTGAGTCTGGATTCGACTGTAAATTCTCACCAATCGGAGGCCGTTGAGGTGGCAACGCTATCCAACTCTCATATACCATCTCTATACGCATCGTCATGTCTATACCCGCTGTTCTCTCGTGAAAGTCCCTGATTACTCATGCTCGGCTGAGGGAACTTGGCATACCACATTCCCCGCAGAGGCCTTCGAAACCTCAGGCCGTTGTTAGGCCATCGGTCTCCCTATTCCAATCCTACTGCAGTCCTGCATCAACACCAAGCACAGAAGTGTGAGTACTTTCAAAGAAACATAAGAGAACCCGAATAGCACAGAAGAGGTCAAAATCACGAAACTGGTACTTGATCTATCCCAAGGAGCAAGAAAGGTCTTTCCTCAACGAAAAGGGCAGTATTCCCAGCACTCAAGCTTCGCTCTTAATCAACCTTCTGCTATCACATCTCATCACTAATAGCATACTACTAAGTGATTGGGATTGTGACTGAGATGAGCCTGCAACTTCTGTACCTCTACGATGAACCAGCCCCCCTTCCCACAGAGAACCCATTCTGTGCGGATGGTCGAAACCAATATGGATCCTTGGCTCACGCAGGCTCGGTGCGAAGGATCGCCGCCACGGACGCGATCCGGGGTCCCATCAGACTTTACGGAGGGAGAGAGGAGGGGAGGGGGGATGGGGCAAGGGGGATCCCTCTACGAATCTACTGTAGTTATCGGTTTGTCTGATGGAGGGTGGGTTGGGTTCTACTCAAAGCCGACCATTCCAGGTTTTATATTATACCGGACTATCCGGCCGAAAGGTCCTTCCGTGATCTGGCGTGTAGGTTGAAACGTGAGCGGTATCACGGACCATCAGTTTGAGGAAGCTAGGGCGCTGCGTGACCTTTTGCGTGTGGGTGCTCTGAAGGGTTGGGAGAGTGCGTAGATTAAATAAATGTATAGTCTTGAAACGGGGGGCATCAGAAATAGGTAGGAAAGGCAAAGAGAGGAGTTGACCTTTGTCTTTTGGAGGGGGGGTAGTATGAAGTTATATGAATGTGTAAAAGTGGTGGGTGGCCCATGGGTCTGCAGGAATCTTCAGTTGCGATGATCAAGGCTGAAATTGGTGCACGTCCTAGGGCTGATTGGTACATTTGATACGGATCCTCCTACGACGCTCGGTGAGTTCTCAGGTTGACAGTCCGAGTCCCGGGGAAAAGTGGGTGTCTTCCGCGGTTCAGACGTCCATGCTCTGGCAGTCAACAAGCGAGTGGTTCTCTGCGCAAAGGAGGAGTTACTGCACCAGTCCGATTCGGGGGGGATCGGACGCACACTTCTTACTGCGCCGATGAGAGGCCCATGCCAAAAACAAGATATCTACGAGTTTTGAGTTCAGAACACACCGAGGCTGGAACCTGCCTGCAGATCTCAAACTCATGTTCGACGTGATCACAATAGACGCGCCAAGTGCGCGATGGCCAGGAAATTGCTGGTTATCTCCTCGGGACCTGACAGGAAGGTGGTAACGAAGAGGTCACGCACATCAGGGCAGGCAGCATGCCCCTTTTCCCGAATGTCTTGGCCCGTGGGAACGGTTGCAGTTGCGTGATTATTGGGGTGCATCTGAACCTTGTTGAGTTGGGGTCGCTGACATCTGTCGAATGGAAGGTGTATAGCGCGGGTGGAAACAGTTGGAAACAGGACAGGGAGAGTCTTTTCTGATGTGTATACTCTGCTTGTGCAGTCTCCAGTCACAGCAGATTAATGGCTGAACGATTCTCGGTCTAAAGTGAGATCAGTCAACCTCGGCGCGGTAGATCAGCATTGGCGACCTAGACCCATGATTCGACTCAGCGCCTCTCTCCAATGGATCATCGCACCTCTAGCATAGGTTTGACTGACTGCAATGCTCGTGACCTCAGTCAAATGGCATGATAGTGTGGATATATGAACCTCCAGGTGCGAGCCAGAGTGCTCCCACCGCTTGGGTACCGCCTACTTGGGTCGAGCTTGACCTGGAACCTGCAAACCCGCAACCGCGGGGAGGAGTCGGAGTCATGACATAAGTTTAGCTCGGTCCCAAACCCTCGAGCAATAGCTATCACTCCACAATCACGAATCACGGCTCGTGGCGGCTGCGTTCTTTGTCTGTCTCTCGCTTGGCGTAGCCCACATCGGGAAAGCCCGAGCCAAAGTTAGGGCGGCTGAACTTTCGCTATGGCCCCCCCGAGCCGTGGTTTCGAGGTTGAGCTGGTAGGAAAAAGACAACTCCGAGTCAGACAAAGGTCAGAGGACAGTGGGTTAGAGCAATTGGCTTTCGTTATTTGATGTACATCAGATTCTTGTGCGTGGTGGCTTGGATGGCTTGGACTCGTCTTCTGTTCTTCCCCGGGTTAGGGGGTGGTTCGAGGGGGGTCTCGAGCGGCTGTCCATCTCCGCAGCTGAGCGACCGAAAGAGGGAAAAGCTCGAGCTCGCGAGCTCATGATCTCAAATTCTTTGTTTGGCACTGAAGGAGCTATGGCCTGGAACCGAAGTTGTCAGAGCTTCGGTAAACCCGCTTGCACCGAACTCCTGAAGTACTGTACAGCCCTTACTACTGTAGCCATAATATCGGGTTGAGCACAGTTCCCACCGAAACTGCGCAGATCATATTCACTGGGACTAGTATATATGATATTTTCATAGGATTCCTGTCCATCGCACACTCCCTAATGTTGCTTCAAAGCTTCACTTGTAACCTCACTCTTCCAGCAGCATGTGGCCTCTCTCTTTTTAATTGAATGGCAACACAACAATGGTCTTCACTCTTGGTCCCCCCCTCTCCGTCATTTTGCAGTGCGTCGTCGCCGCGATGGCGGGAGCGGTAATGGGTACTCGGCTGTGGCTGCGCAAGCATCGAGGTCAGCCCTTCGACATTAGTGACTACGTGACCATGCTGTGCATGTTCTCTCTACTGGTGACTACGACCATGGTCTCGGTGGTTGGACAGTTCAATGTGTCGGGGGTACTTAAGAAGCCGGGCGGGCCAACCCCTCATGACCTTGCCATCGCCAGAAGAATCACGCATGTGTATGTCGGGTATACATACGGGTATTTCATCTAGTATGCCTTCCCCCACAAGCACCTTCTAGATATACCTCTCTGACCTGTGTGCCCGCCTTTAGTTTCTGGGGTCAGAAAGCAGTCGTGCTTCTCTTCATCCAACGTGTCTGGGGTGGTCTTCCGTGGCCTCGCATCTGGATTCTCGTGGCCTGGGGCTGGCTCACGCTGACCTTTGCCTTTGCGGTCGTCGGCTGGAGCGTGTCCTGCGTCGGGCCAGTGCATAATATCCTCCTGACGGGACACCCGCCGGGTGAGTGTAGAAGATAGATTGCCTACCTTCGACCCTCCCCTTCTTCCCCACAGGGCTAGATCCTAACAACGAATTCGAACGCAGTGCATTGCCTCAACGCCAAAGGATCATTATACTCCTATGTTGTGCAAAACACCTCCAGCGACGTGATCCTCATCATACTCCCGATCCCCTGGGTAGTCCAGGTCCACCGACCCTGGCGCCAGTGCGTTCATTATCTCCATATCCCACTCTCAGTCCTCAGTCTGACCCCGATCGCAGACGCCTCCTTCTGATCGGACTCTTCTCCATCGGCATTCTAGTGGCCGCGGCGAGTCTCTCGCGCGCCTTCTTCACCACCACCAATCCCAGCATCAACATCATCATTACCCTCTTCGAGGTGCTCCTCTCGGCGCTGGCCGCCAATCTCCCGACCATGTACACTCTGCGGCGACGCAAGCCGCGAGCCCCCTCGGATCCCGAGTGCAGGATGCCACCGCACCCGTCTCGGCACCGTCCCCGGCCTCCCGTCCTCACCGATACACAGATCATGGCCGACTCCACCGAGACGGACACGGACACCCAGTCCGAGCGCCGGACGCGCGTGTCGAGCCAGGCCAGCACGGAGCCATTGGTTCGACGCGAGTTGTATACATAGATCTTGGTCCCGGCCTCTGTATGGAGGTATGATTTGCTTTAGTGGCCAGGGCTAGACTCAGAGGGTGGTAGGCGTCCCTCTATATAATGCATGTATAATATTATTATTATTCATCACTCCGAAATAGGTCTTATCTTCAATCTACAGAAGGATGCCTAGGCTCAGGAGAAGAAGATGAAAATGCCTTAACGCTGCCAATGTGTGATGCACCCCGGCACGGGGAACCTTTATAAATTGCTCGGTCGGCATCAAAGTCAAGTCACGAGCCCGGACCAGCCCTATCTATCACGTTCCACCCCCACCCACCAGAACACCACCCTCATCTCCCCGACAACACCCCAATCTGCTCCATCGGCCACTGCAACCACGCCCGGTACACAGGACCAGGCACCTGCTCATAAATCTGGGAGAGGATGTGCGTGCCCCAGCCGCGCATGCACCAGATCCACTCGAGCTGGTGCATGAGCACACAGAAGTACCCGACGATCACCATCGCCGGCGGCTGGTACTCCTTGAGCGCGAGCAGGAAATCATGCGGCACGCGCAGCAGCCACATGAACACGTCGGCCGTCTCCAGCCGCCACCCCTTCTCGCGACACAGGGTGAAGCAGTGGCTCATGTGGTCGATGGCCTCGGAGTAGATGGCCTTGGCGTGGGGGTCATCGTGGGGCTCGGAGAGAATAAACCGCCGCAGGTCCTCGAGGAAGGCGTGCTGCGTGGCGGCCGCGTCGTCGAAATCGTGGGCGCGCGGTCGGCGGTGCACGCTGAAGAGCAGGCCGAGGGGTCCGTTCTTGAGGGTGTCCTCAGCGACGGCGACGATTGTGCCCGTCCCTTTGATGAGAAGGAGCCAGTTGGCGATTTCGTGGCCTTCCCACAGCAGGAAGTTGCCGAGTTTGAGCGGCTTGGCGCAGCAGATGAAGGAGGAGAGCGCCGAGAAGAGAAAGAGCGGCGTCGCGTTGGTCGGGGTCAGCTGGGCGATGGCCGGGGTGGCCAGGCGCAGGGCTGCGTCGTGGTGCGTGCTGGCCAGGCCGAGGTAGTGGTCTTTGTGTCCCGGGCGGAGGCTCGCGAGGTGTAGCGCGGAGAGCGCGAGGATCGCCCGCAGGGTGTACGGGGCGGTGAAGCCGACCTTGGGGACTTCGACGCGCCACAGCGTCTGCAGGGCCGGGTTGGCGGAGAAGGTGTACGCGGTTGAGGTGGTGTAGTGGTGGAGGAGCTCGAGGTCGGCGATGGCGAGGTCTGAGGTACCGGTTGAGGAGGGTGGCTGGGGTAGGCTGCTGGTTGCGGTGTCATCGGGGGATCCGACGGGTGGACTCCGTCTGCCGCTGGAGTTGGGCGTCGAGTTGCGACTCGATGCGGAGGTGGCTTCGGTCAATGAGGAAGCGGTTTCGGCCATTCGCGTCGAGACCGCAAAGGAACACCGTACGCCATGGCGCATGCAGTTGTCGCACGTCGGCTTTTCCTCGCCACACTGTCGTTCGTGTCAGCATACTGCTCCGGTGATACCGTTGCGAAGGAAGAGGTATGAAGCATCCCACCTTGACTTTCCGGTGCTTACATTGCTGGCACCCGTTACGTGACTTGCGATGAGTCCGGCGTCCTCGGACTGTGGAGCTGGCCGACATTTTCTGTTTGTTGGAGAAGCCCCGCGCAAATCAGTGCCGGCGATAAGATAACCTTGATTGCTCCAGACCCGTTTTCACCGGGTTGAACAATTCTCAATTGGAGATTACTGGGCACCACCGCACTCTGGAGGAGCCAAATCACGTAACAGGGCGAGATGTCTTGGTTGTCATCGCAGCCCAGATGTTTCGCCCGATCATGCAAGTTTTAACGTTGAGGCGATGGATCAAAGTTCGTTTTCTTGTCCCTGGGTCAAGTGGACCCTTTTCTTCTTTTGCCCAGACTTTTCGTCCGAGTCGTCTGCTGCGCGGTTTCACTACCATGGCTGCCTATTCGGAGACCTTTTTGAACTGTGTATGCTACTACTACAGTAGATCCAGAGATGTCCCAGGCATCCAAATTCTTCTGGCGTGAATACAAGCCTCTTTAGATGAGGTTGTTATGGTGGAAGCCTGGATGCTGAGCTATTCTTGGCGCACGCTAATCTCGTCCTGCCGGGTGCAAACACGCCAAACACGGCAGACGCAATGCCGGGTCCACTCAACCTTAAGTTTGATTGGCCACAGATCCTTCCGCCCTACCTAGCGTTTCTTTGCCAAGACCTTTTAGTGATTGAAGGAAGTCAAAATGTGGAAGACATGCCTCAACTATATGATCAAGATAATTAAGCCTGACTGGACTTTCGAGATCTTAGACTCTTGATCTGATTTTTCTCTTATACAGTTCCTAATGTTCCGGTAGGATTTGGATCATTTCACTGGGTTGCAATCTGAATGCTAAACTTGTTGCTTAGCATAGTTGACTTGGAAGGGCTCTATTACTAGGGTGAATTCAGTAAAAAGGAGCCTCTGAGTGGCCTGATGCGGGATCTCTTAATCATTTTATCTTGTCTTCTGAAGTACAGACGCATCTAAATAATGCGTGTCTACGGACATTCAACGTTTCCAAGGCTTGGCATGAAATCCGCATACCCATTCACTATCCCTATACAATCCAAGAAACAATGGCAACCACCTTTCGGCAATAAGAGAGACTTGTATGATACAATTCTGGAAGAACTCCATTGAAGTAAGCTTTCTAGGTAGTGATCAAGCAATAACTCGGCAGAGTAAAATAAACAGCATTCACAATTCAGGATTCAAAACAGTCTATCAATCAGAAAAGCCACACAGAAATCACCGAAACAAAAGTTGCAATATGCATGTAAGAAGGAAACCTCAGAGAAACCCCGACCAGGACTCCACATTTATACCGACGCAGGCGACCCCCGCCGCTCAAGCTGCAGCCCGACCTCCTCCGACCCCACCCGATGATGGCGCACCTCGCTCTGCAGCACCACCGACGGATGAAACAGGTTCATCACCACCATCACCAGAAACATCATCGTCGCATCCAGCACATACAGGAACGCCTCGTGACTGATGACGTACCCGCTGTTGCCCTGCGCAAACTCGATCAGCCGGTACACCGACCGTACCAGGATGAGCCCGCTGACGAGGTAGCACGCGAACAGCAGACCCCGCCAGTCCCGCGGCCAGCAGCTGCCACTCCCGCGATCCGTGGCCTTGTCCGACTGCGCAGTCGGGTGGCTGGCGATGCGCCGGTGGAAGGTGAGGGAGGCGAGCAGGAAGGCGCCGAAGAAGATTAGCTGCACGCAGAGACCGCCGACGATGACCCATTGCCCGATCTTCATGCCGCTCGCGGAGCCGCCGGACATGATTCCGCCGCCTGTTTTGTCTCCGGTGTTAGAATACTGGGGACAGGATAGAGGGGAGGGAGAGGCTACGTGCCTGCTGCTTGGAGAAGGAAGGATAGGACATCCCCCGACACGAAGACCTTGGTCAGCCATTTTACGGGGATGATGCTCAGGTCGGCTGCGTTGACGAAGGTGATGATCCGGGCCAGGACCATGTAGATCGAGGCGGCGTAGAGAGTTGGTGCGAGGAGAAGCAGGAGGGTCTGGATGGCGTAGAGTGTGGTCGATGTCTGGTGGAAGTGTGCTGCCGCGCGGGCGATATAGCCGATTATCTGGACTGGAGATTGCTCAGTAAGATTGATGATCTGCCTGAGAGATCGTTCTAACTACTTACAGATTCCTCCGACAATGAACGGGTTGAAGTACTTCGCGTGGGTTTGCACCCGCTGGAAGAGATGGACTGCCGTGGTCAAGAAGAACAGCACAGCGAAGATGACTGCGGCCGGCAGGCTGGGGTCGTACTCGTAGAGCACGAATGTGGATTCGGATCTTGCGGCTAACATGGTGAATCGGTATCAAGCCAAGTCTGGGCGTTGTATGCAAAGAATTGAGGTGTATAATATGGTTTTTAGTTATCCAGAAGTCGATGCACTTTTGTGTCCCTACAATAAGGTCCCAAGTACAGTTAAATATTTATAGCTTAATGCATGTCGCCGATGAGCGTTTGGCTGTTTTTTCCATGGATAGAATCTCGACTTCAGTCAGGAACTAGGCAGTCACATTTTGCCTCCGCTCATCGGGTTCGTATAGATTCAACATGCAAGTTCTTCACGTACGTACACAGATTCATAGTCCCTGGCGGACGATCCGAGCCTGTGGGTCATTTCGCAAAAACCGTTCTAAGCTTAGATCCGAACCCGAGTACGAACCCGAGCATGGCGGACGTCTTGACCCGCTTGATCGCCATGTTCAAACTTTTGTTTCAACCTTTCTGTCCCTTACCTGACGACTCAATTGGCTTTAAAGTGGTTTCTAGCAATGTGTTGGGGTCTCGTCTTGCTCCACTATCGAGCCACGTTCTGGAACCGCCATGCGTCCGGCTGAGGGCACCTGCCGCAATCGATGCGCGGTGTATCGGAAAAAGCTAAATCAATGACACTTTAATTGGTTCTTAATATAGTTCTATTATTGAACTGAAAAGACTAAAAGACAAAAGCATGGTAGCCTAACTTAGATTGCTTGATTGTGAATATAATTCTTCCAACGATCCTTCCACTGTCAACAACCCTTACACTTACATCTCTCCTGAGACGCTGCAACATGGATTCCAAAGAATCTTTGAACATCGAACAAATCCGCATCGTTGATGACTACTCGGATCCACCGCCTGCATATTCGCCCGCGCGTGCTTCAGTCGCGTCCTCAGAAGCGTCCCTCTGGACCATCGAGCCGGACTTTTCCCCTGAGTTTACCAACGATTCACGGGAGCTGGACTACTGCTTTGCGCCGGAAAGTGAGTTGATCGGCCGCCACCTGCTCTTGCTTGTTTAACGATTGCGATCAGAAGATAGCAAGTTTAGTATCAATGCGGACATCACGTCGCGCACGTCTGCTTTCATCCAGGCGTTCATGCGGCCGAGCACGCAGGCTCGATTGGTGAGTGTAGGGTTAAATCGCAGCGAGTCTGGAGGGAGTAGCAGCAGCGTTCCTTCATGTGGTGAACCCCAACCGGAAAGCCCTAACCCGCCACCACTGGACATCGTGGTGATGGTCGTCGATGGTAATGACGCCGGGTGTCCTGTCATTGCTCATCTCAATGCTAAACTCCAGGACAGAATCCATTGACCCCTTCATAAGCATCGCAAAACAACTCCAGCAAGATTCCCACCGGGTCCGGATCGCTGCAGATGTCTCATACGCATCGCGGGTACGAAGTCACGGACTGGACTTCTTCGCCATCCCTCCGATCACCTCATCCCCACGAGTAGGTGTTCCTTCTCGGATTAAGAAAGTAAGACTGACTCTCTGTATAGAGTTACAGTACAGCCAATGGTCAGACTCTCAACTCAGCCGATCACCGAGCGAACCATGTCCGCAACCTCCGCCATTCCCTCTTTGAAGCATACAAACGATGCTGGCAAGCCTGCATTGCGCCATACCGAGATGACGCGCGCCCCTTCATGGCGGACGCGATCATCGCCACCCCAACGGCGCATGCCCACATCCACTGCGCGGAACGTCTATCGATCCCGCTGCAGATCATGTCCGCGACACCGCAGAGCCCTACCAAAGCCTTCCCGCATCCTAGAGCGCGTCTGGATCCCAACGAGGAGATCGATCAGCCGACTGCCAATATGTTGTCTTATGCGTTAATTGAGGAGTCGACGTGGCGTTTGTGAGTCCAGCGATTCTTGTCCAGTGAGAAAAGAGGACTAACATCAGGATACCAGAATCTTGGAGCCCCTCAACATATTCCGACGACAGGTTCTCGGATTGATGAGCATTTCCCCAACTGTGGCGGGAAGGCTGATAATGGACCACGAGATTCCACACACGTACTTCTGCTCGAGGGTTCTGGTTCCGAAGCCGAGGGACTGGGCGATCAATCATGGTGAGCGAATACGCTCTCTGACCATTACAAGAGTTGAATTAACTGGTTGACGTCCCTGCAGAGATGTCCGGCTATATTTTCCACGAAACCGAAGAGTCCGACCGCCCACCGAAGGATCTTGACAACTTCATCTCGTCGGGCGCAGCACCGATTTATCTCATGATGAGAGACCCTAGCATCGTGGACTCGGACTTGCTGGTGACAGTCATCCAGGAGAGTATACTAAATCGTGGGCTTCGGATTGTTGTCTCTGAAGAGTGCCGGCACGTCTGTGCGAGGCTGGACAATCCCAACGTTTACGTTGTCAGCTCCAGCGCCAGCGGTAGGTTCCACGTCTCTACCTTGATGTGGTGTCAGCATCACTCACTTTTCCAAACAGACTGGCTACTCCCCAGAGCATCTCTGGTCGTCCACAACGGGAGCATAGACACCACGAAAACGGCTTTACGGCACGGCAAACCAAGCGTGGTCATCGCACAGACCGACGAGTAACACTCCCCGGGCTCTTATCACGAAACTCCTAGATACTAACTCATCCAGCCACCTTTTAACCGGCCAGACTCTCGCGAAAATCGGCGCCGCCGCCTCGCCACTACGCGCCAACGAGCTCACCTCCGAGACCCTCGCCCAGGCGATCGGCTTCTGCCTCCGCACCGACGTCCAACAGACCACCCGAGCCATCCAGCGACAACTCCTCGACGAGGCCGGGGCCGCCAGCGCCATCAAGTCCTTCTACCGCTGGCTGCCTCCGCAGGTCCAACCCTGCAGCATGACCAAGCAGGACCTGGCCATGTACCAGATCTGGAACCGACCGTCGCAGACCATCTCCCCGGAGGCGGCAGCCGTCCTGCTGCAGGAGCAACGCATCAAGCTTACGGATCTCGTGCTGTAGGCCTCTCCCACATCCGTAACCTGAACCGCCATGAGATGGACCCCCTGACCCGAATGCAGGATCACGCGGTGCCCATATAACATCCCATCCACGCAACCCGCCTCCGAACGTCCGACCAAGGATTACTGGGGGGGAATCTCCCACGCCGCAAAGGATATCGTCAGCGCCTCGGACCTGGTGAGCAAGGTCCCCGGGCTGCGGCAGAAGGTATCACGCCACGACGCAAACATT